CTCGATAGCTATTTGATGTTTCTTCTTATCCTCCTCATTTACAGGGCAGTTTTATTAATTATAGTGTAGGACCAAGATTCACCTAAACATTTTCTTAACAGACAAGATGCAGCATATCTCCTTATCAAGCTATTACCAAAGAGGACAACATACAAGTAAACACTGTTTAATTTTAAGTATCCTTTGCTAATGAAGGAAATGCATTCCAGACTAAAGTGGGGCGAAAACCAGGAGTTCTGGTGCACAGAATTAGTTTTGATTTTGGCCTATTTTGAGTTGAGCTGGACTTGAGGATTTGTAGTTTCCCACCCTCCAGGTTGGGCAGCTATTGATCTTACTTCTGTGACCATGTAGTGTTCCTCCAGTTTCCTTGCTTTGGCTGTGATGAAATTTCATTGAACCTGAGCTGGTTTACCCACAGGATAAACCAGCTCAATCAACTAGCATTTTACAATTGGACTTTTTGTTTTACTGTCAAAATTCTGCTCAACTCCAGACTATAATGCTTTCTAGAGGGATGACTAAACAAAACCCTTCATCTTCATCTGACAGTATTTGGAGCTGTCCTAATATAGAGCTGAACTTCAGTAGGCTAGCTCCTGGCATTGACCTCAGTCTTATGCAGGCGTTAATCAGGAATATTGTCAAATAAGTCAATGGAGTTACACCAATGCAAAACCAATGCATGGGAGATCAGAATCATCCCTTATTTTTACTGGGCGGAGATAGGAGAAGGTTAAGCTAAAATGGCCCTGCACTTTGGAGGTTTTCAGATTTTAGCTTGACTCATCTGTATTTTAAGTGTATATAACCCTGAACAGACAAGGTGCCTTGGGTGAATCTGATATCTTTTATTAGACCAACCCAAATAGTTGGAAAATAATTATTAAGCAAGCTTTCAGGTTCAAAAACCCTTCGTCAGGCTAAGGAAGTTTCAGCACTTGGTGTGTGCTCTTCCTGGATGGAATGAAAAGTAAAGAAGCCAGCGACTGGGCTGGTATGCATACGAGACAGGTAGTCAGTGAAAATGTAGATTGAGGAGTCAATGGGTGAGACACAGGCTGGGGAACTGCTGCAGTACAGAAGAAAACCCCCCACAAATCGCACACCGCTGGTTATGACATATCGCCCCTCCCTTGAACCTGTACGGAAAATCCTCAAACAATTGCAACCCATACTAGAAAGAGACCCTATTCTTAAAAAGATCTTCCCAGAGCCACCCATCCTAGCCTTCAAACAAGCACCAAACCTCACTAACCTCATCACCAGAAGCAAACTTCCTCAAGCCTAGAAGATACCAAAAGGATCCAGACCGTGCCATGACAAGAAATGCAAAACCTGCCAACACATCTCCACCACCCCCACTATTACTACACCCCACAACAGAGCCATCAGCATCCCTGCATCTTACAGCTGCACCTCCAGGAATGTAATATATCTCATCCAATGCACCAAATGCCCTGATGGAAAATATGTAGGAGAGACCAAACAACAACTGCGCACCGGAATGAACGCACACTGGAAATCCATCAAAGACAGAAACACCCAAGTACCTGTGGGGGCACATTTCTCACAAGAAAACCACTCTCCCTCCAATCTCTCAATCCTGATCCTCAAAGGAAACTTACACAACACTTCCCAGAGACGAGCCTATGAACTCCACTTCATCAACCTCCTGGATACTAAAAATCATGGACTAAATATAGACACTGGATTTATGACACAGTATAACCTGCCTGACATCTGACTCCCCAGGTATTTCTCCACTTTCATGCCCCTTCTCTCTCTTCCCCCCCCCCCAGCCTGTCTCTCACCCATTGACTCCTCAATCTACATTTTCACTGACTACCTGTCTTGTATGCATACCAGCCCAGCCCCTGGCTTCTTTACTTTTCATTCCATCCAGGAAGAGCACACACCAACTGCTGCAGCTTCCTGAGCCTGACGAAGGGTTTTTGAACCCGAAAGCTTGCTTAATACTATTTTCCAACTATTTGGGTTGGTCTAATAAAAGATATCAAATTCACCCAAGGAACCTTGTCTGCCTATGTCCTTAGACCAACACGGCTACAACCTACACCCCTGTAACCCTGAAAAATTTCCAGCTCTTGTTCTTGATCATCACGGAGGTGTGCACAGCACAAGTCAGGGAGGGGTTCAGTTCCATCCACCTGTGAGTTCTCAACCATGGTGCTTGATGTAACACATGGGGATTATGGGATGCCCTACTCATATCCAAATCAGGGAGGGCGGCACAAAAGACCATGATGTTTGTTCTGCTGTAGGCTTTCTTATTACACTGGTGTGATCTGCCAGAGCCAATAATTCCCTTTTTGCCTGCAGCCACAAAGAAGTCTCCAGCACAAAGGATCTGGGCACTGGTGTTTTTCCAGCCACTTCTTTCTTTTGAGTGTATTTCAGCCCCTCCATTAATGATTCAGCTTTTGCAGCTACTATACTTGCCTTGAAAGAAGGCCATTTTCTAAGCTTTACATTTAATAATCAATAAACATGAAAAAGAAAATGTTTGCAATAGATACATAGGGAAAACAGCTTTTAAATATACCGCTTTGCTTTTATTTGGGGCACTGAAGTTTTCTTCAAACATTGGATGTGTTAAATACCCAAAGGAAGATCCCTTATCAAATAAATCTATTAATCATACTATAAAGGTTTCCTATGGCATCTTCCATCTGAGACTTGCCTCACACTTCTTATAAACACCAAGTGCATTTCTTTCTGAGGCCAGCCAAGGCAGGAGAGGACACAAGGGTTGAGGTAATTAGATTCACTTTTGTACTTTGTATGTAAAACTATGGTATGGACACCCACTGCAAAAGAGGGGCTTATAGCTATGTGGTATACATCCAAAGAAATAGAACTACCACCCTGAGGAAAGGAAATATTCCTGAGTAAGCTAATGCAAGGATACATTTATTTAAGTGCCTTGGCGAAGGTCACACAAGAGATCTGTGTTACATTCATACATGTACCTCTCAGGTTCCTGACCCCCAGGTTTTTGTTTCCAGTATACTCTCTCCTTCTGACAATTACTGTTTGAAGTTGTAAAATTTAAAGAGGCGTTTCACAATATTCAGGGGACAGAACGCCAGAGTGTGGTTGTAGAGGCATCAGGGCATATCTACAAATGCTTTGACACACACCTAAACCTAATGCACATTTGCTTTAGCTATTCGTGCCTAAATTTTGATACCTGCAAAAGCAAAAGCAGGTATCAAATTTAGGTGCGAATAGCCTAAAATTGCCATTTTTAGGGTGATTTAAGGCTGTGCACATGTAAACCCTTGCCCTTAATGTGCCTTAAAAATGGCTAATGTGCCTTAAATTGCCATGTGTAGACGTACCCACAGAGTTCTCATCTAAGCCTTGTAGCTTACTCGGGTTCAAGGCGCACTTGTCTTTCTTCCGGTTCCCCCCTTTATAATATAGATATGAGACTGAACGCCAGCCAAGCACTCTTCATCAGAACAGTTTTTGATACAAAATCAGTTTTCCACCAAACAGGGGGGTTTTTTCCTTGAAAACTTTTTGGTTTCCAAAAAAATGTCTAGTTTTTCTATTGGGGGGAAAAATAACCCTAGCTCTGATAGGGTAATGAAATAATGCTTAACCTGCTTGTAAAGACCTTTGCGGCTCATTAATAGAACAATGCCAGAAATTATTGTTTTACTTATTATAAGTCTCTTTGTAGACATCACAGGTGAGAGTTTTATTTATTCATTTGTTAAAGGACAAAAAGTAGAAACATAGTCTCCCCAGACACCTAGAATTTCATCTTTCTAGTTAGTCATTCTATACTACCTTTTCAACACGTAGGTTGAGTAAAAAAATGTGGATGTTTTTTCAGTCCTGTGTAAAGTACCTATCATCCATATTAACTCAGGGATTCAGCCAGTTCTGACTAAAGCTATTAGTTCTTTCCATTGATGCACTCTGAGTAGGATTAGGCCCTTACATATCTTTGAAATTATTGTGCAGGATGGTCAGTCTACTGTTACTTGTTCCCTTTCTGGACAGCACTTTCTTGTCCTTGGATGCTGTACGACGATTACTCTTTATGGTTTTCATACTGTGGCCCCTTTATCCATACCTGTCCCCTTCCCCTTTAGCATTATGGAAAGCCAGGATATTGTGGATACCCTGACAGTTATTTCCAACCTGCCCCATCCTATGGGTCGTAACCACAGGAGGAAAACCCAGGATTATGTGTTAGGAAACATGATGTTCTAAATATTACTTCAGCGTCTTGTCATTATGGTCCAACCACTGTAGCTTGCTTTGAGCCAGCGCTGTGGATTACTGGAGCTCTTTAAATTTTAATGAAGGTGGAGTTGACATGTGGGCCTGCCTAGCTTTTTGTAGCTTCCAGTGTCCTTCAGCTTGACCTTTTCTCCGCTAAATTTTCCCACAGGCCTCCTTAGTTGTCCTTCCCGCACCTTCACTTCCTAATGCACGATAGACTGTTGCAGGCGCACAAATGCCCATCTGAAGTGTGGAAATCATGCCCTAAAACCTCGCTCGCATGCCTGCCACCCTCTGGACTCAGCTGAGGAAGCTCGCTGCAAGCAGGGTTGCTAGTGTCTATAGGGGCCTTGCTTTGGGTGATGCTCTAATAAGGTACAACAGTCACTGGAGTGATGCTCCCTTGGCCAGAGCAGCATCCCTTGTAGGAAGCAGCCTCAGTCTCTCCCTGCCCTTCCCTCCCCCATC